TTTACCCCTCAAACATCCCCAGTCACACAGAACAGCACAATCATGCAGGACCCTTAGTCACAAGGAGTAAAATTCTAAAAGAATCCCAGTTTCCTGGCCGGAAGAACCAGGAAAGGGAGGGTCACTGGGGAATGAAGACTATAGGGAAATGCCAGAGGAGAAAGTTGGAAAATGATATCTTCTAATTTTGCATAGGAACCTTCACAAGTCCGAGTCTCAATTCTCTATTGCACACATGTGGAACAGACACAATGAAGCTGAGATTTTAAGTCTCAGATGAAACTCTGAGAGGTGCATGGGACATATAGACCCAAAAGCTTAGCAGAGACTCAAAAACTGGACTGACTTTGGAATACCCACCTGTGGAAGGCAAAACATAACTTAAGTCTGAACCTGAATCACTTGTCTGCTTTCAAATACTCAAAAATAAAATATAATAAAATAAATCAACTTTCACTAGAAAATTTTAAGAGAACCTAGAGTCTTACATCACAATAGTCAAAATATTCAGGATACCATCCAAAATTCTTCAATGCAGAAGAAACCTATTACCAATGTTAAGGATGCCAATCCTGATATGACCCAAGTTAGAACTAGTCTTTTGAATACCTATTATAGCCAGATAGTCTTTAAAAATACCTATTATAGCCATAGGTAAAGATGAACATTCTTTTTAAAAAAAAAAATTATTTATTTACTTATTTAGGTGTAGATGGACACAACACAATGCCTTTATTTTTCTGTGGTGCTAAGAATTGAACCTGGGCCCCGCCAGTGCTAGGTGAGCACTCTACTGCTGAGCCACAATCCCAGCCCCAAGATGCGCATTCTTGAAATAAATGGAAGTATTAGTGTTCTCAAAAGAACATACAAAATACACATGCAACCAAATGAAAATTTTTAAACTGAGAGATAACAATATCTGAAATTAACCATTTGCTAGATGACTCAATAGCAGAGTATCAATAAGAGGGAATTCTATAAACTTAAAACTATATTAATAGAAATTATGTAATAAAAAGAACTGAAAAGGAAATATTAGCAAAAAGTAAAAAAACCTTAGAGAGCTATTGATCTAACATTCATGTCACTGAAATTCCAGAAAGACTCAGAAAATATATTTGAAAAAACAATGGCAGAAAGTGTTTCAAATTTGTTAAAAGACATATATTTACAGACTCAAGAAGTTCAATGTACCCAAAATAGGTTAAAATAAAGAAAACATGTAAACACAGCATAATCAAACTGTTGGAAACCGAAGGTAAAGAAAGCCTTAAAAGCAGCAAGAAGAAAAAATGGTAAATTACATATAAGGGCAACTATGACCACAGGTTTCTCATAAAACCATGAAAGATAGTGAGATAATATCTTTAAAGTATTGGAAGAAAACAATAAAGTAAACTAAAGTGCTGGAAGGGAAGTATTGTCAACTAAGAATTCTATATCCAGAGAAAATATCCTTAAGGTATTCAAGCAAAATAAGGGCATTCTCAAATGAAGGAAATCTGAGGGAATTCATCACCAACAGACTTGCTCTAATGCTAAATAAAATTCTTCAGGTTAAGGAGAAACTACCTCAGAGGGAAATGTGGAACTTTCAGTTACATATAAAAAACAAAAGAGATAAAAATATCTGAATTAAGTGTTTTTCCCTTTAAATTATTTAAAATATATGTGACCATATAGCTGTAATATATGCAGCATGTACAACATAAAGGAAAAAGAATAAAGGAACCTATAAGGTTATAAGATTTCTATTGTTTGCTCAAAGTGGTAAAATATTAACTCTACATATACTGTTAAAAAAAAGTGTACATTACGATTTCTAGAGAAACCACTAAAAAGCACCACAGAATCATAGCCAAAAAGCTAATTAATTAATTAAGATTAAATACTATGAAATATTCAAATAATCTAAAGTGATTAAGAAGGATAATTAAAAGTGCCAAACAGAAAACAAATAAATGATCCCCTTAAATCCAACCATGACCACAATTTTATTAAAACATAAATTTTCTAAATGCCAATTAAAAGAAAGTGATTTTCATGTTTAATTTTTTAAAAAGACCCAATTATACACAATCTAAAAGAAACACATTTTGAATCTAATGATACAAATATATTTAAAGTAACATGGACTAGGGATGTGGCTCAAGTGGTAGCAAGCTTGCCTGGCATGCGTGAGGCACTGGGTTCGATCCTCAGCACCACATAAAAAATAAATAAAATAAAGATGTTGTGTCCACCTAAAACTAAAAAATAAATATTTAAAAATAAATAAATAAAGTAACATGATGGAAAAAGTTATGATATCCAAATACTAATCAAAAAGAGAATTGAATTCCTATGGTGATTTTAGACAAAATAGACTTCAGAACAGGTAAAATTATCATAGATGAAGATTTATATAGTGGTAAAAGACTAAATTCACAAAAAGACATAAGGCTAAATATGTATGTATCTAACAACAGAGCTCCTAGAAACATCAAGCAAAGGCTGTCAGAACTGAAGAGAAATAGATAAATACACAATTATACTTAAAAACATCAGAAGAGCATCAATCCTAAAATCACCGTCACAGTTTCTCTCAGGAGGTGTTTTATAGATTGATCTTCTCTGTGCTTCTGCTTCCTAAAGGAAAGGACTGTGCCCCAGAGAACTTCGTGTGAGCATAGCACCATGTCTAGTTCTGTGAGAGTCTCACCCTAGCCAGATATGGGACTATAAGCATGACTAGACATTAGCTACTTGTTGAAATTTTAGAGAAAACTGACAGTAATTTGCCTGCAATATCTCTCTAAGAAGCCAAAGAAAATTCAAATATAACATTAATAGTTTGTGTGGACAGGCATTGATTTATATTCATCATCCATTCTCCCACTTGTGGTAATAGTGTCCAGATTTTGCTTTAGGGAAAATATGTCTAAATACCCCTTTCTTGAGCCATAATTAAACTTGTCATTGAGCGTAGTCAGTGCTCCTGACTCCAGTGATTAGTCAGAGATGGGCCCACAAACCTGGCCAAAGCTGATGAGATACAAGTACATACTTGCTGAGACTTCTGGAAAAGAGTGTTCTCTCTTCTCTTTGGGAACCACCAGAAATGACACTATCCATTTGGCTGAATGGTGTGATGTGAAGAACTGGGCAGGTTATGGTTTTGGGGTTTGGTTGTGCATTTTTAGCAGTACTGGGGATTAAACCCAAGGCCTTGAGCATGCTAGTCAAGCACACTACTACTGGTCTACATCCCCAACCCTGCTAATTCCTTCTTGACATATGAGGCAGAGCCTCAAACTATACTCTGCAGCTCCTGAGAGTGAAGCCTCACTATAGAAGGTACAGAGAAAGAACAAATAAAAAAGGGACAATTGCTTCCTTATCTAAAACAGGATAGCTCTGGTATTTTCTATCCAAAAAAGAAAAACTTTTTTTTTTTTAATTTTCCTTGTGTTAGTTTGGGTTGGGGTTTTCTGTTATTCACAATATTGTGTCCTAACTAACCCAAAGTTCATCCCTTTTTAAACCACATTCCTTCCTCCAGAAATAAAAACACACTTCACATGCAGCAAGTGCTTTTACTTTTAATGTTAGATAACAATTTTATTTATAGAAAATAATGATATGCAAGTACTTTAAAAGACAAAGCCTTGTCTTATTTTTTGTCCTATTTTTTCATAATAACCACTTAATGAAAAACAACATACATATAAAAGGGAATCATCCAGAACTTAAAACTGTAGGCAAAAATGGGTTTTCCATTCCTATATTAATACACACGCTATAATTACTTTTCCTAAAACCACCATCAACCACCTGTACTTCTTAAAAAATAAAATAAAAAATAAAAAGAATAAATTCAGGAGGCCCAAGTCATCCCCAGTCTTGACAGTATCCATAGAAAGAATGGTTTCCTAATTCCTCCCTGCATTTTTCATTTCAGGCTCAAGTTATCTTTTTAAAGGAGAATTCTTTAAGTTCTGTAAAGCATAGTCACCCCTTCTCTGATGGAAAATGTTTAAGCTATCTATTTGAGTAAGGATTTGGTGCTTAAAACCAGGGAATTCCTAAATTAAAGATATTTCTACAGATGAAGCTTTGGTTATATGAAGAGAATGAGGTGGAATTAATTCTGGGTACATATGAGATTCAAGAGATCAGTCTTCATCAGGCATTTATCAAGGACCTTCAAGGGATTCATGGGTGAAGGAAGCCCTTACCAGGCAGTTGCCCCTAGTTTGAGTGAGGATGTCTCCCACATCCAGGATACTCATTGATGGTAAAACAGAGGGACACTGTGTGCAAGGAAAGTTTGCAAGAAACAGAGGTCACATTAGAGAAGCTCCTATCCAGGTGGACTTGAGGAACAGGGAAGAATTCAACATTTGGAGATGGAAGCAGTTTTCTTGGGTGGAAAGAAGAGCATGAGGAGAGACAGAGAAGAGCAAGTACAGAGTAGTTCAGAAGCCATTGTGTGTGGTCCCGCTGGGATGGGACCTACCATAGAACCAACCACCTTCTCTGAGGGAGCTCTGCTGGGAGTAGATTTGACCCGATGAAGAGGAATTCAGAGATCCTTAGGTGAGGTGGGAAACAGACCCATACCACCACTCCAAAGAGGCCATGTTCTTCTACAAGGGAAAACAGTCTAGTAAGAAAAGTCCAAGGCTCTGGGTTTGATTTTTAACTCTGCCACTTAATTCTCAACCTCAGGACCCCAACTGTAAAAAGAGGAGATTAGTATCTTTCCTGTATACTTTATAGGATTGGCATGAATGTCAGGAGACACAGTGGGCACAAAATAGCATTGTCACCTACTTCCTGGCAGTCATTACAGGGTGATACTCCCTCAGTACTTGTTATTATTATTCTATTATTACTACTACATAAGAGATCCTGGAGGCCAGGAATCATATCATCTTCAAGACTAGAAACACAGTACATGACTTTTGTGAAAATTAATTCCACCTCATTCTCTCCACATAACCAAATCCTATCCTAATTAATTAACTAATGAGTAAATGGACCAATAATGTTTAAAATTCTCATACTGAACAATAAAATCAATCTCTTTGCTATGCTGAAAGATGTTGACGGTTCTTTAATTGACTTCTTGACTGTTGGGTCTGGTGGAGGCTCAGAGTGAGTAGTGATCAGTTGGTGTCATGGTAGAGAAGAAAGCCTGTGAAGGTAGAGTCATTAACATTGTCAGCATAGACTCCATTATGGTCTCCATCCCCATACACCTGAAGCCAGACTTGATCGCCCACCTCCAGATGGAGGAGCACAGAGCCAGAGGCCTGGTCCACATTCTTGTCCTGGTACTGGTCATAGGTGAAGAGGGTAGCTTTGTCCTTCTTGAAGAGGCTGACCTTCACATCCTTCATGTAGACTGTGATATGGTAGGAGAAGTAGTACAGCCCAGGAATGTTGCAGTGGAATTTGCCAGTGGTGCCATCATAGTGGTTTTGCTGATTGTAGAAGATCTTGGTAAAACGAATGGGAACATTGGGGATGGTGTCCTTGGTTTCCAGTCCCACACTGAATGCTGATCGGTATACATAAGCACCTTCTCCAGGTTCTCCTTTCCTGCCTGGGATTCCTGGAAAGCCTCGGGGACCTTCAGCCCCAGTCACTCCAGTTTCACCAGTGTCACCCTTAGGACCAACAAGACCTAGAGAATGAGACAATTTCAGTGACCACAGGAAATGGAGCTCTTGTCTAGGTTTTGTCCAGCTAAAACCATTGTCCCTGGGACCTCCACCCACAGCTTGCCTGACAGAACAAGGAGAAATGTCACCTCCTCTTTATACATACCCCAGATCCCCGCGGGTTCTCACAAATAAATCTCCAACCTTATCTCCTATAAGTCTCCATCATAGACTCTCTACCTTTTAACCTTTAGTATACTGGCTCAACCAACTACAGTTTTGCCCTCTATCTGCTCTGTCCATGATGCCCTCTCTCCTCTATTCTGTCTACACATCTTTCAAGGTCTGACTCAAACCCTGCCTTCTCAAAGAAATTTCATATTAATCCAGATCTTCACTGAGCATATTTTCTCTGTGTTCCACACTTTGGACACTTGTTCACATTCAGTTTGGCTTTCTTGTAGTAACCCGTAACAGAGTCTTGTACGTTAGAGTTATCCTCTTAACAAAACCAAGAGTTCTCCGAAACTTGTGGAGAACATTGGAGAGTATGCAGTTAAGAGTGGTTGAATGCTGCTGGAAGAAACAGGAATGAAAGAGAAAAGAATAGGAAAAGTGAACATTTGGGGAATAAGTGGATGGGAAAAGGGACAAGGAAGGAGATGCAGGTGGATCAGAGTCATTTGGGTTTAAAGGTACCACCTTGTCTCTCCCCTGGACATCCAACTCAAAATCCATTCCAGGCTGCTTAATGGTCACATAAGAAAAAAGTGCTGCATCTTTCCTGTGTCTAGGCCTTAAGTAATAACTAGTGCTCTCATGTAGCCCTGGAGACCCTCCTCTACCCAGGAATGATGAAGGAAACAAAAAACCTTGTTCTTACCTGCATCTCCCTTCTCACCCTTCTCACCAGGGGTGCCATCTCTTCCATCACGGCCTGGGGTTCCATTATGACCAGGATGCCCTGGGATGCCTGCCATCCAACCTGCACAGGCCCCCTTGGGCATGGGAAGCAGGGCTCCTGGCCCTTCAGTAGTAACATCCTGGGCATGACTAAGCAGGCCTAATAGCAGTAGAAGGGCTTGCAGCAACAGCATCCTGAGTCCTGAAATCAACATGGACACTGTCAGCCATGGGAGAGGCAGTTCCCACAATAGCACCCCCAGTCAGGAATGTGTAGCAGTTAAACCATCTCAGTAGGGTCCACTCCAAGAACTGTCAAGACTTCCTTGACTGTTTTAACTTACCTTGATCTCTTTCTACCCCCAAATTTGCAATACTTAGCATTATTCCCTGTACAAAGTTTCCTTTCCTCAGCAGGAATGTGAGTTCATGATGGCAGGGATGACTCTCTTCAAATCCCCCATATCTGAGCACAGGACCAGGTACAGGGAATGCTCCAAGAGACAGCTGGCCAATCACCACTCTTGAGTTTTCCAAGAATGATGACTCAGATCTGTCTACTCAACTCAACCAACTTCTCTCTCCTTGTCTCCCTTCTTCTTCTTCTTCTTTTCTCCCTCCTTTTCTCTCAATTTCTGTGACTATTCCTCCTTCTTTCTCCCCACACTTCTCTTTCTTCCTCTTCCCCTCTCCTGGGTTATATATTTGGCCATTTGGTACATGTATACACAGAGCCTCACTTTGAACTAATCAGACAACCAGAGATGTGTTGTCCTATGAGGACATCCACTGATCCTTTGCCTGGGCCACATACCTATCCCTCCTCACTTCCCAAACCCTACTCAGCCTTCAGGACACAGTTTGTATGTCACTTCCTTCAGGAAGTCCTCCTGTCCTCCCTCTCCCATCTGGGTTGGTTATTCCTCCTCTGTTCCCCCAATTTCCTGTCTTACCTCTATTATTACCCTTTTTGCACTCTACTATAATTCCTATTTTGCTCACCTGTTTTTCCATTAAACAGACACCATCCGGCAAGTCTAATATTTTGCAAACACAGAGCAGAAACCAAATAAATATTTTTATAACAAAAGAAAGAAAAAGAGAGAATTAGAGAGGGGAAGAGAAAGAAAGAGAAAAAGAAGGAAGAGAAAAGAAAGGAGGGATGGTGGAGTGTATTAAAATGTGTATTCTGGGAGCCCTAGCAGAGAGCTCAAGTGGGATAGGTGTCCAAGGGCCTCCGGTTCCCAGAATCAACCCTCCATAGCCCCCTCCCAGAAGAGGGCCCTATTCAGGCTCCTTATGGACTTTGGACCCCTCCTAGAGTCTGGGAGATCATCATTGGATGATCTTAGATGCCACATCTGGTGGCCGGGGTCTTTGTCTCTCCATTTTTCTCTAAACAAGGAGTTAGAAGAAAGAATGGCTGGGTAGGAAATAGGTTCTAGGATCCTGGATTAGAGGCATCACTAAAATCCTCTGTGAGATAAGGTGGTGAGTTACAAAAACCTGATTCTAAATGAAATGTACTCCATGTCCTTGTTTTACTCCAAAGACTCACTGTTTTTCATGAGTTTGCTGGTCTCTCCTATACTACATGAAGCTTCAGAATAAGATTTGTTTTTAGAATAAACTGCTTCTCTGTGAAGAATGTAGGAAAGACCCTGATTGGCAATCTTACATCAGATTTGCATGGTATCTGGAATATCACTTCTACACCCTTTTACCTGGGGCACTATGCTGCCCTCTTCATGTGGCACAACCAACTCATTTTTCATCTGTATATATATGTATGTATGTGTGCTTATATATATATATATTTATATTGTGAGTACACATATATGCATGTGTATATGTGTTGCATAAGCTTTTTAGAAATTGCAGAAAAGAAATTAATTTCTAATACCAAGAATTTCTGTTTATTTTTATTATTTTATTTTATTTTATTTTATTTGTGTGTGTGTGTGTGTGTGTGGTGCTAGGGATTGAACCCAAGGCCCTGTGCATGTAAGGGAAACACTCTACCAACTGAGATATATCCCCAGCCCCTCCCTGTTTATTTTTAAATAATAGAAGTTATACTTTACACAGAAATTTACTCTTCTATATTTGTTTTATCATTTTATAGTTTTTATAACCACCCTTTCTGAATGCTAATCCATCAATGGGGACTTGACAAAAATATACTTGACCGTTCTATTTTGGAGAACTTTCAGTTTAAATTCCTTTAAAATGTCATTTTATATTCTGTAATAAATAATATTACATATCATTTTTAAATGATATTTTAAACACCCATAGGTATATGACTTTTCCTCCAATTATTATTCCAATATAACATATTTCTAGAAGTTCCTGGACCAAGAATGATGAACATTTTTTCAAGTATCTTGATATACATTCCCATACTTGAGGATGTCACTCTGCTGTCCAGTAGCATGTTAGCATGTATATAAAAGGACCAGCTTTGAATATTATCATGAAAAATACTTTTTTCTTGTTGTTAGTTTAGTGAGCAAAAGAAATGGTATCTCACTGCTATATTTTGCATCCTTGAGTCATTAATGACTTGTACATTTTATTAAAGTCCTATTTCCTATTTTTTTTTTTTTTTTTGTATCCAGGATTGAACCCAGGGGGGCTTCAACATGGAGCAACACCCCCAGTCCTCTTTATTTTTCATTTTGAGACAAAGTCTCTCTAAGTTGCTTAGTGCCTCACTAAGTTGTTGAAGCTGGCTTGAACCTGTGATCCTCCTGCCTACTCCCCACCTCCAGATCTGCTGGGATTTACCAGCATACACCACAATGCCTGGTCTACTTCCTAATTTAATTTCCTTATTCAGATAGCTTTGTTACTCAGTTTATCATGAATATAATGTTTACAGATCAACATGTGTGAGCTCTTTGTATCAACACTTTGCCATACATGCTGGGACTGTTTTCTCCGGTATTAGATTATCCTTCTGTTTATCCTAATTTCTATTTATATAGAAGGTTTCGTTTTTACATAGATAATTCTATAGATAGTTTTCTTTGTTTCCAGGTGTTAAATAGTCCTTATCAAGGTTGGGATTGGGTAAATATTTGATTTTCTTCTATTTTTCCTATCATTTGATATATTGAAAGTTTCCTTCTCTAATCCATCTCTGGTTTTGTCTTGATATAAGCTGTGATCCCAGATATTCAATGATTTTTTCGCCCATTTGAAGACCAACTATTTAAGCTCCTTTAATTAAATTAACATTTCCCTCTCTTTTGATCTGATGCATCATTATCAAATATCAGGTTCTATTATAATTTTATAAGTAAAGTCATTATTGAGAATGAGACTGGCAGACAGATAGGAGAAGGAGAGGGACAGTGACAAACAAGAGCCACAGAGACCGGTGCCGCTCCTTAAGGGTCATAAGAGTCCTTCAATACTCCTTTTCTCATCTGTGTGTGCCTTGATCGCCCTCTACTGAATTTGGAGGACTTGGGAAAGTGCCGGAAACAAAATGAGAGGTAGCTCAACGTTGGTATGTCCCAAGGTTAAAAGAAAGAAGTGAATTAGAGGAGAAGCCAAGAAGAGACCAGCAAAGCCCCCTGTATGTTTCAGGAGGTGCTTGTTCTGAATTTAAGATTCCATGTGTCTTTAAACTTTCCCATTATTTGGCATGCCTGCCCTCTCTTCTTACAACTTTACCAATAAAACTCAGAACTTTGGCTTTATGCTTGTGTTCTGCAGAAATGAGGAAAGAAAAATCTGTGCGGCTCTGTTATTTTCCGTAGGGAGACAGGAGGAGAGAGACCAGAATGTGCAAACTAGCGGAGGCACCTAAAGATAAAAGGTGGGTTGGTGGTCTACCCCAAATGCTTGGAGGAAATGCAAAGACTCCTCCCCTTCTCTGAAAAATTGAGATCCTGTTCTCCTAACCCAAGGGAACATCATCTGTCTCCAACACTTCAGTGTTATGGACAGCTTTCTCCAGTTACAGATGTAATCAGTCTGGGTCCTCTGAGGGTGGCATAGGGTAGAGGTGCAGAAAAGGGAAGAGAAAGGAATGAGGACATCAGGACGTTTCTGATGCTGAGAGAAGAGTCTGATTGAAGAAGGCTGCATTCCAACCTAATTCTAGATGAAAAATGAGCAGTTGATAACTACTGAAAGTCAATGTAAAGATGCCTCATTTTCAAAAAAAAATTACAAAACTATTTGTATTCTTTGTTTAGATAAAGAATTGTTATGCTTTGATTTCCAAAAACGTCTGTTTCTATGGGGAAAACATTATTAAATGAAACTAAGGATTAATCTAAGACTTAATCATACCTATAAAGAAAAACTTACATGGGTCATAAAGCTAAATCCTAGGACCGCTTATAATCCTTTGCCTGTGGAAAATATTACCTATAAAGTCCCTACCTCATGTAATGTCTCTTTTAATTCTCACAACCATCTTGAGAGACAGTATGGGGTAGAATAAGAAGCACAGACTCTACAATCTTAGTACCTAGGTGCCAATTATTTGTTCTTACCCTTAATGTGTTATAGTCTTTCAAGCTTGTTGGAGGATTTAATGACCTAGAACATTGGTTTGGTGTATGTCAGTGCTCAATAAATGTCAGTTATGACTGAGTCCATTTTGGAGTGAGGAAAACGAGAGGTTAAGTGACTTGCCCAAGATCCCAGAATTAAACACAGAGGATCTGGAAATCAAACTCTGGTCCTCTGGATCCCCAAAACAGACAGTTCTTCAACATAGCCCAGGAGGGAAAGCATTGCAGTCACACACCTTCCCTTTAGTATTCTTCCCCTTGGAGTGGGGATGACAGAGGATAGTGTGGAAAGACCTGGCCTGCAAATTATGAAGCAGGAGACCTGGCTTCTCCCCCAGGCTCCTCCTCACTCTCTGGGTGTCGTACTTCTCCTACTCACCTTTCCGACTTCATGTGCTTTATCTATAAATGTGGGATATTAATTCTTACCTAGCCTATTTCACAATATTGTTATGAAAACCAGTTGGTAGAAAGCATGAAAAAGTATTTTATGAACATATAAAGTGCTCTATAGTAAGTGAGAGAAGAGAAGCAAACAAATATTTTTGGACTACTGTTACATATCCATTTCCCTTCTCCCCATTATTTTCTTTTACTGGTGCATTGGAATTGTACATATGTTGGGTTTTGTTATTACATGTATGTTCATTCACATAATATAGCAATATAATTTGGCCAATATCATTCCCCAGTATTTTGCCTTTCCCTCCTTCCTCTCCCCTGTCCATTTCCTCTACTCTTTTCTCATTTCACTCATAATGCTAGGAGATAGAACTCAGTTGTCACAAGAGAAATCCAACAATTAGAGAGATTCAGTAATTTCTATCCAAGGATAACAAGCAAATGAGAGCAAAAGTACAATTTGAAACCAAAATCACCACACTGGCCTGATCTTCCTGGCAAACTGTACACAGGCATGAGTTCATTCCCTTTTTAAATTCATAAGGAGATGATCATGATGTACTTGGGATCTTAAGGGGCCATAGTATGATCTCTCATTTTCCTGTTAAAAATATAAGAGAAATTCCACTTTGACCTGCTGGAATTTCAATAGCAACAGCATAATCTTGTGAAATACAAGGACAGGATCCCCTTTGGGACTAGCAAGAGACAGAGCTCTATGGGGGAAGAGGTTGCCAAGCTGGTGCCAACTGCTCCAGCAGGAAAAGTCAGAACAGTGCACAAAATCCTCACATCCAGAGCCAAAGTGACCTCAGAAATCATCTCATCACTGTCCTGGTTTTTCAAATGGGAAGACTGCAGGGAAGGAAGAGGGAAGTATTTATTAGATCCTCACAGAAGCCAGATACCATGCGAGGAGTATTTACACATCATTTATTTTCACCTTAACAAGAGCTCCCTGAAGGAAGGAAACTGACCCACACTTTAGAGATAAAGAAATAGAGATAAAAGAAATGATCTCAGAGAAATCTCTGTTACAACTTCCAAAACGGTAAACCATCCACCACTGACCTTCAGACTCTGTTTCCCAATCTGCTAAGTGGGATCATGTGAGATAAGGTACACAAGAACACTTTGAAATTGGTGAACATCTTTGGCATATCATCTGACTTTATTTCATCCTCCCATACCCCCACTTTGGACTCTACTTTATAAGAGACCCTCAGACTCAAAGAGGTTGAAATGCTGGCTTCATAACACACAACAATTGGTTAAGTGGCTTGAAATTACTACTCTTAAAGTTTGAAATAGTAAAATATTGGCAATTTTGCATGATAAAGCCTAATGATAAATGGTAGAATCGTAAATCTACTCAACTCTGTCTGGCTCCTAGAATTGTCTGAAAGTTTTCACTCAGCCTGAAACAGATGTCAGTATTCCTAGGCTCGCCACACCCTTACACAAACACACGTGCATACGCTCATTCACTCATACCTTCAAGCTACTGGTAAAGCAAAACATCCTTCCACTGCATTTTTAGGATGAGTCTCTCTCCCCAAGAAGTTTTCCCAATTGAACACTCGATCTCCAAAACACATCACTCCTGACCTCAGCCAAGTACCTGGAGTACTGATCCTCTGACTTGGTGAGCAGATAGTAGAGAGTTTGTCCCTGCAGCCACCTTAAAAAGGACAAGAAGCAAGACTGGTGTCTCTCCTTGAGACTTCTCAAGACATAAGGAAGGGTGACAACAGAGGGCCACTGATGAAGCTGCAGGGTTTGATTTCTACTGCTCAGCTCCATTAGCCAAGCTGGCACCACTGTGTTCCTTTGGCCATATTCTGCTAGGATATTCTGCCCCCAACCAGTCAAGGCAGAACAAGCCTTACTCCTAACAGAGACCAGAGGAGTAAATCAAGAATCAGAATCAAGGGCTGGGGATGTGGCTCAAGCGCTAGCGCGCTCGCCTGGTGTGCATGCGGCCCGGGTTCGATCCTCAGCACCACATACAAACAAAGATGTTGTGTCTGCCGAAAACTAAAAAGCAAATACTAAAATTCTCTCTCTCTCTCTTTTTGTCTTTAAAAAAAAAAAAAAAAAAAAAAAAAAAAGAATCAGAATCAAGCATGAGGCTTGATTAAAAAGCCAGAACATCTCCATATCAGGGAGCTGTGTCCTCTAATCCATGAGGAGCTGCTCTGACTTCTAAATCCCTTACCCCTGCCCACCCCACTCTGACCACCGCTTCTACAGGTGAAAACCACCAGGAAGCTTCAGAGGCAGCACTCTCTGGGACAAATAGGATTGGGCTTGGCAAAGATCAGGCAGATCCAGGCACTCCTCTCAGAAAGTACCTTTCAAAAATGAGATTTTTTATAACTTTCCCAGACTATTTTCTCTTTACCTCACTTGAAACCCTCAATTGCCTGGCAAGATATCCCCATAGCTATGATATCCCCAAATCTACGGACAATGGCCACATCACACTCATCTTTTATCTCATGAACCACCCAGTGTGTGGCCAGTAGCACATACCCAGCCATCTTTGTTGAACTGAATCAAGTGGCAGAGCCAATTTTAAACTCAAGTTTGAGGTCAAACCTCTACTTAACTTTTCCCAAGCTGCTTCTGCACATGCTGATTCCTTTGCTGTACCTGGTCAGGCTGAGAAGTGATTTAACCTCTTGTCCTTTATCAAATCTGACTCCATCTGTGGACAAGCCCTCCCATTCACTGACCTTAATCTTTTTCTCAGTAGGCATCCTCCCACAAGTGAATTAGGAAAATTCAAGATGGCACTGGGCTTTTTGGCCAGAAGGAACAATTCTTTCTCTCTTGGAGTTCTGGAGAATTGAGAAAAAATTCTGAGGCCTGTCTGCTTCGACCAGTTCTGCCTTCCCCTGGGTTTTGCCCATAACAAATTCTATACTATGACAGACAGGAAAACCTGGGCACATCCCAACTAAGGCTGGGCAGTCATCTCCCGCCCCCCAAGCCTGGAACTTAATAGAATTGCTCTTACCCTCTGGTATGGAATCAGACCCACCAACTTAGTCAAGATGGACGGATGTGAGAAGGAGAAGGCCTTCCCTCAAGAGCCTAGTACTCATGGGGGCAGACAGTCCCCACCTCACAAATGTCCTTTCTCATTGGCCAGCAAAGGAAGGGCCAAAGACCAATGAATGGGCACCTTGTCCCTGGCAATCATCTTGGGTGTTCACCCTAGGGAACCTGGTGCAACCCAGAAGACTCAGGAAGCCAAGTGGATCTTGAGTCAAAACACTCCTGTTCCCACACATTGACCCTTATTTGTGCCTTCTACCACAGCAACAGAAAGCAGGACAGGGGTAAAGACCACAACAGGAAAACAGGATATTTCTGTATCTGAGAGGAAACTTCCTCAAATAAAATAAATTGCTCGGTTGTCCAAGAGACCTCCTTCTCCCACAGACTTTTCCTAATAAATCAGGGATATTAATTATTATATCACACTCCTGCTTATTGGGCACGATTAAATATGAGATTGTGTGGGTCAGACATCAAGATTTAAGCAGGAAGAACAGCCAGATGGTGCTCGGCATGAGGGTAAGAAATAGAATGCACCCTCTACTCTCCGACCTGGACCCTGAATTTAGGAAAGACTTTGTGTATTAATTCTAAGAGCTGAGATGAAGGAAAGTTCCCAAGTGGTGTAGGGCTTGGCAAATTCAAAACATTTAGAGGTCCTGAATTCTCAAAGTTTATGGCCTACATGAAAATCAAATATAATATGACAGAAAACATCTATAAAAGTTGGTATTAGAACACCATATTTCAGGATTTTCTGGTTCTAAATCTCAAAATAAAGTTTCACAAATAAACTTTATGTGTGTGTTTGGGCCCTGATTTTCCAGTACATTGAGCATAGGTCTAATCTGTCTATCGGGGAACACAGCCCTGGACTGGAACCAGCCTGCAGGACTGGAAACTGCCCCCCACTTAGGTATTCCTATAAGGCTCAGGTTGGAGTGACAACATTCAACACCCTGGTCTCTCTTGACAACTAATATTTTATTTTTGAAGGGCAGGATCAGAGTTAATTCTTGCAATCCACAAATCCTAATGAATTGATCATGACCCGAGCAGAGGCTCTGGATGCCAGCCACAACTTTAACAGGACATTCAGAAACAAAATGTTCTCAGGTACAGGCTGGGCATGTCACCTGCCCCCTAACCACCACCCCCTACAGACAACACAGACCCTGAGTCCCCCAGAAAAGTCAAGTCCACCAGTAAAATTCTGACCAAAAGCCTTGGGCTGCTGCTAATATGCAAATATTTCTAGAAACATCACATTAGGACACAGAAATTGGAAACTTGAGGTCCTTTCCAAGGTCTACTGGCTTACGTAGGGTGCCTGCAAAAATGAGGTTCTATGTACTTTAGCAGGTAAATTGTACTAAGGAGAAAACAAAGAAATGGTAGAAACTCTCAGCTACATTACTGGTTTATTTTTATTTATTTAATTTATTTTTAAATTTTCTTATTTATGTTTGGTCTGTGTTACTGTTTCTAGGAATGTAAATTTCATGAGAACAGGGGTTTGTCTATCCAAGGCTGTATCCTTCAACCCCTAAAACAGGACCTGGTACAAGGTAAATAACAATGAATGTCTAATCAATGAATAAGCAAGTGCTCATACTCAATACTCTCTTGGAGATAACTGTGATTTTTCTCCCACTTCACAAATAAAGAACCCAGAGTTCAACCAGAGTGACTTGTTCAAGGCACAGATCCAAGATGTCAACCTAGATCTGTGTGACTACAAAATGCACATGCTTTCTAATAGCTCATGTCCTTTCCCCCTCCTGATGGTCTGAGAAAGCAATATTCATGTATCTGCTTTAGGGTAGCTTTGGAATGGCAAAAAAGTGGTGGGGTGGGGGGGTGGGCATTTTCCTCTACCCTTATGGGAATGCAGCTGGTTTCAGCAGTCTTTATTGCACAAAGGTGAAATGACTTTAGCCCCACAATCACACAAGATTGTGCTGGGTCTGGCTGTCAGCCAGTGACATTGTGAAAGCCTGTTATTTTGTGAGGCCTCAGGGAAATCTGCCATCCACCACAAAGGCCATCATGTGGAAAGAGCAATTCTGGGGCATGCTGGTTTAAAGATTATAACTGGAAAACATTCAATCAGAAATGCCTTGAGGCTAGTTCTTTTCCCAAGACAGAAATGTTGCTATCTAGAATGAAGTAACCACATAAATGTAACCATTTTCTCCAGGGGTCCATGTATTGTTCAAGTCAGCATGTGAATTGGGATACTGAATAACAGGCAAGATGACTCAGTTTCCTTTAACTATGGTAAAGGTAAACTTAACTATATATTTGCCATATATAACTTGCTATATATTTTTGCTTAATCATAATTTTTAAAGAATAATCTTAACTGAAATAAGTAAGCGTAATAACCTTATTTTGAAAAATTATACTAAATTTGGAGCACATGGCAGAGTGAGTCCACCCTGCAGCATTCCTGCAGCATCCCTGAGCTATTAGAAAGCATGTAGATTTTGTAGTCACACAGATCTAGGTTGACATCTTGGATTCCATTCCATCCTCCAAATCCCTACAAATGGCTTGAAAGAAAAATTATTTTTCCTTGAACTGAGTATGTTGCTCAGTGGTAAAGCACTTGCCTAATACACATGTGAGGCTCTGGATTCAATCACTGACACCGCAAAAAAAAAAAAAAAAAAGAGAAAACAAGTGCCAAATAAGTACATAAAAAGTTATTCAACATAATTAATCATTTGAGGAAAATATAATTTAAAGCCACAGTGAGATATCACTACATAGCTGGTAGAATGGCTAAAATAAAAAATAGTGAGAAATATTATAGTGGTAGTTTTGTGTTATTATACAACTGTAAAAATGGCAGAGTGAGTCCACCCTGTGGACTAGTGAGAATATGAAACACTAAGAATGAAACTTAATATAAGCTATGTGTTGGATTTTGGGTGACTAAAAGAAAAAGTGTGGGTAAAATAGATAATATAAAATATATTTAAAATTAGAAATAATGAGAATACTACATTTGGTCAAGAGTGCATAAAAATGGATCACTCACAAAAAATGGAAATGGAAAATGATATACCCACTCTGAAAAATAATTCAACAGTTTCTTTAAAAATTAAATAGCAGTCATACTCCTCTGTGTGGAAATAATTATAAAAACCCAGAAAATGTGTGGCACTAATAATAAATTAACCAAATTATGCTATGTACATGTATGAATATATCACAATGCATTCCAATTTTATATATAACTATAAGGTACCAATTCAAAAATAAATACAAAAATAGAAGGAAGACCAATAAAGTATAGAAAGGGATCAGGGGAGGGAGGAAGGGAGAAAGAAGAAGTTGACAAAAAAGAATTAATCCTAAAAATAAAAATGAAAATTATGTCTACACAAAAACCTGTACATAAAAAACCTGGAAAATTATGTATACATATCTATGTATATGTACATATATGTGTATGTGTAGGGGTGTGTGTGTGTGTGTGTGTGTGTGTATACATACATATTTGCCCATTTGCATGAATAAATAGGATAAATTTATAGCAATGGAATTGCAGGATCAAGTTATAGGCACAATTTAAGTTTAGATAGTTATTATAAATCAAATCTCCCAAATCCAATATTGATTTATATTCCTCTCAACATGGCATGAAAGTACCTGTTCTCCCATATTCTTGCCAATACTCAGTACTGTTAAATATTTAAATATATAATATTCTAATAGGTTTTATAAAAAGTCTCATTTTAATTTGTATTTTTCTATCTCTATGAGTGCAAACTGCTTTTTATGTATTTGTTGGTTACATGCATTTGTTTTCTTGTGAACTATGTTTCTTTCCTGTTCAATTGTCCTTAATAATTTTTAAAATATTTAAAAAAATTTTTAAAATAATTTTTAAAAGTTCTTTGTACAGCATGAAAATCTATCCTTTGTTATATGACTTGAAACTTGAATCTATCTACTTTAAAAATGTTTTATACAAATATTTTTGTGACAATTCAGTCTAATTATTTACATTTTCCTTTTGGGATCCTAAATTTTGTGTCTTGCCTGAAAAGACTCCCAGTTTCAAAGTTGTTCAAAGTTGCTCCCAGTTTCAAAGTTGTTCTTTAAAATAAACAGCTTTTCTTTTTTTCTTTTTTGAGATGGGGGGGTCTCACTATGTTGCCCAGGTTGGCCTTGAACTCCTGGGCTCAAAGGATCTTCCTGCCTCAGTCTTCCCAGTAGCTGAGACTCTACCAGTGAGCTGTATCCCAGTAATTTGGGATGAGCTACATCCCCAAATTTTTAAAGGACATTCTGTCCTTTGAAAAACAAAATAATTACAGATTTGTCAAATGAAAGAATTAAAAAAGAAAATCATGAACATTCTATACAGAGACATGTTTTATTTATTTATTTGGTACTGAAAATTGAACCCAGGGGTTATTTGAGCTACTTTCCTAGCACTTTGTTTGTTTGTTTTGTTTTGTTTTCAGATAGGGTCTGGCTAAGTTTCTTAGGGCCTTGCTAAATTGCTGAGGCTGATACGGAACTTCCAATCTTCCTGCCTCTACCTCTGAAGTAGTTGGAATTACAGGTGTGCACCACCTTGCCGGCTCATATTTTAAAAAATAATCTTGGAACTGGGAAGGGGAGGAGGTATGGCGGTAGGAAAGTTGGTGGAACAAGAGGAACAACATTACCCTAAGTACATGTATTATTGCACATATGGTGCGACTCTACATCATGTACAACCAGAGGAATGAAAAGTTGTGCTCCATTTTTGTACAATGAGTGGAAAAGCTTTCTGTTGTCATGTATAACTGATTAGAACTAATAAAAAATAAATTTTAAAAAACCTTTCCATCCACACGCTGACAGGGAGCTACTGTAGAGAAGGACTTCACACACATGTTGGCCAAGCACAGAGATGCTAATGTGGTGATGAGAGCTCTGGACTAAGAGTTGGAGCCTCTGGATTC